CCCACAGCAAGTCAAGCCCTGCCCCACTGTGCTAGGTAGTCCTCACAGGTTCAAGGAGATAGAAACTTCCCCTACCTGCGGAGGCTGAGTCTACATGTTATTTCTCTGCTGCTCTTTTCACAACGGCTGTGCCTGGATTTATGCAGCTAGGTTCATCTAGGGAGGAGACTGCAGCACTTTTCCATTTCTAGCCTGAGAACAATCACAAGTAACATTGTTTTCAGAGCAACCCTATGCCAACCCTCCCTGATCAAAACCTCCACCACAGTAACCATGTCCAACAAGGCATTTGCCAGCCCTCTTTCCTATTGATCCTATTTGCCAAGTTCATCCCTGCTGTAACCCCAGAAATGTACCTAATTGGTGAGGCAACTTGAGCCATCAACAGTGGTAAAATGTGCTAGAAACTGACACGCCCCCTGCATTCCCCAGGGCAAGCTTCCCTTCCACTACCTTGCCAGCTCAATTCAACCCTGAGCATCTCACGCTACAATGTATTTGTTGGCCTCTAAGGTGCCACGGGACTGCTCTGAGTTTTTAAAATTACAGACTAACAAATATACCCCTCTGAGACTTCACTGAATTAAGTTAATCCTTATTGAATTAGGGTTAACACCCTGAGGTCCATTGTGTTAAAATACAATGCCAAACAATTGTATCCACCTTTTCTAGAAGGAGGGGGATGCTAATCTGTTATCAGTCTTTGAAGCCAGCCCCCTGCAAAGGTGCATAGACCATTCAAATTGGAGTCTCTAGGGACAGACAAAGAAAGGATTTTTGGATAGTGCTTTTTTTTTTAAACAGCCTCAGGTATTTCTTCCTGATCCAGCAAAAGGACAGGATGCCTTGTATATGGAGGGCCCCCATCCTTTGCAAAGGGTTGGAAGGATCAGGTATTTATTCTGAGCTCAAGCTATGATCAATAACTAATGAGAAGCAATCCCCCTCTGCTTAGACATGAAGGACTGTGCCTGCCAGATGTGTTGGCACATCCAAAAAGCATTCAAGAGATCTAACTGAGGTAGAGGCAAATTGTGATTCACTGCCAAAGAGCCTCAGATTTTAAGTGAGTTCTGTCCAATCCTGACTACCAAGATGCCTAGAAATCATTATCATGTTGTGTACTGAGTGAACAGCAGGGATGACACAAATACAATAGCAAAGAGGTGCCATGTGGCCTGTTGAATTAACGTGTTACACAGTGCAAGGTGCACTATCTGAAGCGGACTTTTCTTATAAGCCGTGGTTCTGTAGAAGTCACACCCTGACTAATTGCAGCGTGATTTCATTCCTCTCCCCTGCCAAACATACATCCTCGGGTTTTATTGCCTGTCATAATCAGGAGTCCTGACCAGGGGGTTAACTATGTCTCCTGTACCTAGCCAGGTATTCGGTGGTCAGCCAATAACAATGTTGGTAGGAATTTCAAACTGGAAAAGGGGAGTTTTTCTCTGTTTCTTTGTTTGAGATTTAGAGCAGTTTCTACCAAGACTGAGGGAGATGGGAGTCACTTCTCTCTCCAAGAACGGACTTCTTGCAATGTGTAAGTAGGGTAAAGTTTAGAAAGTCCATCAGGATTTGTTATTTTCTGTGTTTGGGGTTTGGAAAAAAGGTCTGAGTTGTTAATTGTAGTTTTTCTCTTTTGTAACTAAAGCTGTTAGCCAGGGGGTCCAGATCAATTGGTAGCTCTTTTCATCTAGCCACTTTACTATGCTTGCAACTTTAGTTTTCTTTTGATAATAAAAGTTGGTTTCTTTTTCCTAATTAACAGGAATTGGTTGATTGTTGTATCCTCTGACTGCAAGCCTCTTTTGAAAAAGAGCGTCTAGACTACAACCAGTACTTTGGAAAAAAGCAAGCCCCTTTTTCAAAAGAGATCACCCAGGCAGTCTGGATGCTCTCTTTCAAAAAAGCAGAGTTTGCATTACATAGCACCTTTTTTCAAAAGAGCCCTTTTGGAAAAAGGTGTTCTTCCTGGTAAAACAAAGTTTTCCGCGGTCGAAAAAACTGCCGCGTTTTTTCGATTTACTTTCAAAAGAACACGGCAGCAGTCTAGACGCAGGAGAAGTTTTTTAGAAAAAAGGCCACTTTTTTGGAAAAAACAAACAAGCCCTGTAGTATAGACACACCCTCAGTGCCTAGTTATAAGTGCAGAGTCCATTGTTGTCTGTGAATCCCCTCTGGTTCTCTCAACTGCAAGTAAAACAGAGGTTGGGGCAGGGGAGAGTTTTACCTTAGGGAGGAGGTTTCCCAAGTGATCTCTTATCTGGTTTTCGTAGAACTACTTGGATGGTGGCAGCTGATTTCCCAAAATCTGGGTACTAGGATTGGGGGGGGGAAAGGAGTTTTTTGTATCAGAGGCTGGAGAAGCAAGGTTTTGGAGTGCTCCTGGGGGCCCCTACTTCTGCATTTGTCATGCCAGAGTGGGGAACAGCCTTGACACTGCCATTTGGATTAAAAAAAAAAAAAGAACAAACTCTCTCCTCTGTAACACCAGCTAGACTGCGCCATTTCCAGATGTGAACTCTTCTTAAAGCCATTAAATTAATTTACCTTGGCAACCTGGAACCTCCTCGTCCCAACCACTTGCACCTTCCTCAAGCATACATTGGGCCGAAGTTGATCCCAAGTTTTTCCCTAAAGGAAGAACAGGTTCAAGTTTGTTAATCAAGTGAGCAAAGAACTGGTTAACTGCCCAGAAAGAAGGAACAAGGCTTCTGTCAGCCACTAGGTGGAGACAGTTGACTGACTAGAATCGGAGCCTGGCAAACTATGGCAGGACGATAACGGCATAGGTGGTGGTGAGTAAACACTGATTCATTTCCCCAAAATCTCAGTCTCTCATGGATGAAACAGGCTCTTAACTCAGAAGAACCAGGGTGTATAAAAGGCTGGCAGAGGAAGGCTTTGGAAGTGGAAGCTGACTCCCATATAATAACTTTGCAACCTCTTGAGGGGTCATGAGCAGGGGCGACATGTAAGGGGGCAAGGAAGAAGGTGACACCCCTTGTAAACACCACGAGTGGGAGAAACAGGAGCCAGAGCCTCCGGGCAGCCGGGGGAGGGACTGGTGAGGGCCTGGCATCCACAGCAGGGATTGCGGCTGCAACAGGCACAAGCAGCAATGGGGCCTAGAGAAGGGAAGTGGAGCAATGCAACCCTAGCCTGCTCCCCCAGCTGCCACCTGCATTGTTCACCCTCCCCTGCCCTGGCTCCACACCCACCAGTGGGAAGCGGAGTGACATGGCCGGCATTTGGGGGAACAACCCCTGCTGCCTATGCCATCCTCTCCTATAATCCCCCTAACAATGCTCCTTGGGCGGTCTGGGGAGCAGGAAGAGGCAGGGCGGGGGAGGGAGAGGCATGAAGAAGGGGAAGGGATCGGTGAGGCCTGGGGCAGGCAGACATTGACCCAGCCATCGCCTGGACTAGGAGTGTTGCGGTTGGGAGTCACGCAAGGGTCTGGTCATGTGGCCAGTGGCCCCCCACATCCCTCCTTACCGCTGGTCATGACCCCCAGTTTGAGAAACCCTGGGCTACATCCCCAAAATCATTCTCCGGTCTTTAATCGGGGATCAGTCATTGACTGTGGGGGAGGAGGCGGTTACAGAAGGACTAAGTAAAAAGCAAAGACTGGAAGCTCTTGGCACAGAATATAAATGCTCTCATGGAGAATGTGATATTTTAGGTCAGCTACATAGGTCGAGGTGGGCAATAATTTTAGATGGGGGGCATTTTACTAATTTTTGAAGTGTCTCTGAGCCACCCCAAAAGGGGCGGGGCTAGGACTCTTGTGCTCCCCCACCCACAGACTGATTGGGCTAGAGGGGTGGGGGAGCACTTTGCCCCGCCCCCCCTACCTCCAGGTCAATCAGATCCTGGGGGTTGGAGGAGCAGGGGAAGTATCTTGCTTCCTGCCCCCACCCAGCAAGGGGCACGTGGTACTTTCACTCTAAGCGCCATGCACCCCTGGCAGGGTGGGAAGAGACTTTGCACACTCCCCCTTCTCCGGGCCCTGGTTGGCCTCAGGACTGGGGAGTGGCAGGGCATCTATAGACTGGATCCAGCCTGCAGAGGCCCCTTTGTCCACCCCTGACATAGGTATTAGCTGCTTGTTTTCGAGGCATCATCTCTGTGCTGCCAGAGACATGAGCCTTTGTAGCACTTTGAAGTGCTGTGTGCTCCTCGCAGGGTGGCCAGGGGAGGCCAGAGGAAACTTCACACGCTCCTCCTCCCCCAGGCCAATCAGGACTTGGGGGCAGTAGAGCATGTGACGTTTTCTCCTGCCCTGTGAGCAGCGCATGGAGCTTCAAAGCGCTGCATGCTTCAAAGGGCTGAAGGAAGCTTTGTGTGCTCCTCTGCCCCCAGGCCTTAATTGGCATGGGAGCAATAGGGCTTCCGCAGGCCATATCAACCTCTGCTGGCATCTAGTACTCCTGCTCCTGTTGGATTCCCGCTGGAGGATGTGGCCAAGCTCAACTTGAGCTATACTAACTCCAACTACGTATTCTATGTAGCTGGAGTTGCCTACCTTAAGCCTAACTGCTGAGTCTAGTGTAGAACTAGCCTTAGACCTGGAGACCTGCGCTTTGGAGGAGTGGCACTTGCATATTTCAAAAGCCATCAGCTGAGAGGGAGATACTAGGACCATCATGGCCTTAGGTTATTCACCATTGGGGCAGTTGGCAAGGCTCTTCTTCCCTAAGTAGAAGTAGTTTGGGGTCTGTGTTCAGAGTTCCAGCCTTCCTAAGCTTTGTTTTTGTCAATTTAAAGGAAAGAAACACCCGGAAGCAGAAAAGGACTAAACTGAGTCCACTTTTGACACATTCCGGAACTCCCTCTCCCCCGCCCCAAATAAAAATATCGCTACATAAGAGGAAAGAAGAGAACTTCCTTCTGCGCTGTAAGCAGCTATCATTTAGATGAGGGAAGATCTCAGCATCACTTTAAACAGTTAATGAGAGTTTCTTTTAACACATATGGGAAAAAAACCAGGATGCTCGAGTCTTTATTCACTTTTATTTAAGAGAAAAACTTATACTAAGGAAAACATTGTAAATACCACAAATATCTTCAATGATAGTTTCTTCATTCATGGAAAGATTTGTTCTATTGCTAAATACAACTCAATGCAACTCAATGCAACTTGCAATCATAAAAATATGTCAATATTTAAAATCTTTATCATTTATCTTAGAAGATTTAAAGTGCTTGATTATAAACATCCTCTCTCGGCAGCAAATAATAGGATTTCCTGAATATTAAAAAAATATATTTTAAGCTCTACAAAGATAGGTTTTTCACAACAAACATATAAAAATAATGTAGGCACTAAAGCATTAAAGAACTTAACTGGAATATACTTTTAATCTTACCGCTTACTTCTTATAAAAAAGTGAGAGTGGATTGCAATGAAACTAATATAATTTGTTATTCGCACTGAGGGTACGCTTACACTGCACTACCTTGCATCTACACAAGCCACCCTTATTTTAAAATATTTTTCGAAATAATGGGGGTGCTCTTTTGCCATCGTGGTAAATATCATTGCCCGAGAGATAAGGGATGGCTCGTAATAGCATGTAATTTTGAAATATGGCACCGTGCAGACACACCAAATTAAAAAATAAACTATTTGAAAACAGATTCAAAGTAAGATATGCAATTTGCATAGCACAAATTACGTATCTTATTTCGAGTTTAGGGTCCAGTGTAAATACACCCTGAGAGAATTTTTAGTGAGTATTCAGAGCATCTTTGTAATGGCATGTAAATTCATATTATCCTTAATTTTCTCAAAGGTGAAACACACCAGAAGAATCTACAACATTCCACAAAGTGTCTGGCATTTTGAAATCCTGTTTAAAGAATAATATGCATTCCATCATCTGCAGTTAAAGCCAAAACTCACAACCAAACCATGCCGTGCTCTAATGATGACTATGTTCATTAAGGAGAAAGATTTAGTGCTATGGAGAGGCTGAATAAGGGACAAGCTGTACATTCAGAACAGCAAATTATTTTGACGCTCCTAACTGTCTTCGGAAGCCAATTTTCAAAGGCAAGAGCAATGTTCTGCCTCTTTTCTTTCTGCTTTCCTCAAATGCAGTGGATTCCTACTAAAATGCTAGCTCGGCAGAGGAAAAAGGTTATAGTCAAAGTAACACCAGTTGCCTGGGAGGGTCTAGTTTCCCCACAGGAATTTCAGTACCAACGTTTGCAATATATTTCCTAACATTTCCATTACTTTCTTCCAGTGTCAGTTAATTTGTAAAAGATAGACATCATCCAACACGTGTCATTTATCCTGCAAAAGGAAGATAAACAGTAAAAAATCAAAATAGTTCTATACTTCAGCCTTCCACACATCTTTCTTTAGACATCAAAGTACTTGTTTAGACTACTAAACTTTTCAGTATAGTAACAAATACTAGTTTTTATTATTGTAACTGCATAGAATAGAAACATTTTAAACTTATTTTAGGTTAAAGTAGAGATTGTGGAATTTTTCCTTAGTGCCAAAATGTTAGGCCTGGTCTACACTGAGAGGTTAGGTAGAGCTTAGCCACATTAGGTCGATTTTGAGTCCACATCACCAAGCCCGTTCTATTGAGCCCATGCTAAGGGACACTAAAGTTACTTTAAATGCTCAAAACCACATTCAGTCACCATTCTGCATGTGCTCAGCCTGTGGTTGAATTGCTGCTTACTGTGGTCCAGGCTGCCTGTGCACAGCTTTATGAGTCACAGGAACAAGGGTCGGTTGGAATTTATAAAGGTGTGAGAGTCACACACCTTTTCCGACCATTGCACGTTGATGTCCGTGAAATGGCCCTTGGGACGCATCTGCACCTGCAGCACCATTGAGAAGTACTCCTTGTGGTTCATACCTATTGGGCAAGGTGGCAGGGGTCCAAGATGGGAATGTGCATTCCATCTAGTGCCCCACCAGCTAGGGAACTCCATTGCAGCAAAGCCTTCCTCTATGTCCTCCATGTTTCCCAGAGTCACTATCCTCCATAGCAGAAGGATATTGATTGCCTTGGCTACTTGTATCATGACAGTCCCCACTGTTGATTTCCCCAATCCGAATGGACTCCCAGCTGATTAGTAGTTGTCTGGCCAACTTCCACAACAGGGCTATTGCCACTCACTTCTCAACTTTCAGAGTGGGTCTCATTCTGGTATTTATGCACTCAGGGCAGGGAAAGCCATTCACAAAGTTCCACAAAAGTGGCCTTGTGCATATGGAAGTTCTTCAGCCACTGCCAATCATCCCACACCTGCGTCACAATTTGGTCCCACCAGTGTGTGCTTGTCTCATGGCACCACTGTGTCTAGAGGATCAAATACATTTGCCATTCCTTCAACTCTAATGCTTTGCACAAGAGTATGTTAATAGTCTCCTGAGATTTGTCCTCAATCCAGTGGACCCTGAATATGCTGTGGATATACTACAGCATTAGGTGCATCATGGTTATGATCATTATCATAATGCTTTGATGCTCAACGGAATTCACGATGAGTTCCATGCTTATGCTACTATAGTGTCAGCATGATAACCAAGGGAAAAAAGGACAAGAAAAGACTGTTTGCCATTGCTTTCAAGCAGGGAGGGGGGAAAGAGGAAAGGAGTGCATTATGGGATGCTGACAATATGTACCCACAACCACATATTGCACAGTTTTGGTGTGCACTGGGAATATAACCCAGAATGCAAAGGGGTGCAGACACTGTGGGATAGTTGCCCACAGTGCATCGCTCTCAAAATAAACAGTAGTCACTCCACTGGGGATGCCTTACTTCAGACTGAATTGAATTCTTTTGCTCAGTGGGGATATGGACATTCAACTTTACAATATTGTTTGCTAAAAATTTGACTTTAATAACTTTGGTTTCTCTCAGTGTACACGTGGCCTCTGAAAAAAGCAGGTTAGAATATGCATTATGGATATTGGAGGGCAAGGGCTGATTTGTCAGCAGAGGTAGTAATTGCAGGAATGAACGACAGAAAAAGTGACTGATGACAAGTGTTTAATTACATAAGCTAAATAATGGAGAAATACTTAAAAAACAACAAATAGTCTGGCAGCACCTTAAAGACTAACAAAACATGTAGATGGTATCATGAGCTTTTGTGGATACAACCCACTTCTTCAACTGGGTTTTACCCTTGAAAGCTCATGATATCATCTACGTTTTGTTAGTCTTTAAGATGCTGCCAGACTATTAGTTGTTTTTTAAGTTTTTCCAGTTACAGACTAACTTGGCTACCCCTCTGAAGCGAATGGAAAAATAGACTATCCATGAATCTGCTCTTCTCCCCACAATAAAACAAAGCTGAGCTGAAACACTCCTCTAGAATTTCTGCTCTGCACCAGGAGTGGACACCTGTGTAGATTTACATACATGGCAGTTTTATAGCTAAATATTAGTTTAAGTGTCTAGTCACATTGAACATACTTCTTTAACAATGGACCATGAGAATGCTCTGTAAAACACTGTATGGCCCTTATGAAATCCACATGCAAGGGCATGCTAAGCCAATAGAAATCAGGTTTTGGGGTGTTTCTGCAGGCCCCCACTAATGCATTCATCGTGCCAGTGTGGGGAACAGCCTTGACAGAGCAGCAGGATCATTTTGAGAACCCAGGATTTTAAAAGGACACGGGTTTTTCCTTTCACTAGTTGCAAGCTTTGCAGGGTTTTTTCCTCGTTTCTTTTGGTGTTCAGTTGCTGCCTTGGGGAAAAGCACACAGAAGGTTAAGCTGAAGCCAGACACTCCAACCCAACCAGTTTTTTTTCCTAGCTTTCAGGATAACTGGATAGCTAGGCTAGTTAAGGCATGATGTCCAGTTCTAGGACAGATTCATGCCCCAAGGAAGGAGTCAGGAGCATATCCCCTATGAGTCCAGGGGGGCAGTAAACTTGAGAGGACTGGAGCAAGGTATAGCAGCCCTCCTTCCCCCTCATCACTGCCTTCTATGGTGGAAACTGTCTGTAATGTTCAATGTGCATGATTTGGTGCCAAAATTTAGTTACAAAAGAGAGGAAAAACCATTTCTAACAGCACAGGCATCAGATCCAAATTCCCAAACCAGAAAAACAATAAAACCTGATGGATTTATCTAGACTTTACTTACACATTATGAATAGGCTTTTTCTTGGAGAGAGACATGTCTTCTGTTTCCCTCAGTATCTAGAGAGCAAATCTGGCTCAGAGACAAAGGAGGAAAAAGTTAAAAATTCCTTTGTCTCAGTTTGAAATCCCTACCTGCATTTATATTGGCTAACCGCTACCTAACTAGGTACAGAGGACATAGTTAGCCCCTTAGTCCCTGGCTGCTGGCCATCCCTCATGGCCATGACACCCCTCCTTTTCCATTTTATCAGAAACAAACAATCTGATTTCAGGCACATCCTATTGTCCAAGCACAACTAAACCCTGACTTTTTTTTAAGTTAGGAGGAGAGGAAGCTGCCTACCAAATTTGTTGGTCCTTACTCTTCTCATGTAGGAGTAGTTTTTGAACAAACAGACTCACAGATGGATGGACACAAAGACAGATAGACGCCCAAACATTTTCAGATATATGGTAGATAACTTTCTCTCAGGCTGGGCAGAGGTAGAATGATCTCCTTCAAAAACTAAGAAGCATCACAAGTCTTGTTACCTTCCACTCCAAGTGAAACAAACACATATTTGGACTTGCTATATTTAAACAAATATACAACAAATTGTATGTGAATAAGCCACCACACACAATTCCTGCTCCCCAGAGAAAACCTACCTAAACAAGACACTCCACGACATGACAGGTGTTAGTCACAATGCTTAATGCGTTAACCTAGCGGAAGGTGATCAGATAGGACATTGATAAGCATGGCATAAGAACCTATATAATAAAAGAGGTAATGAGTTGAAAGAAACATTTATATTAGACAAATACCTGCTTCTCACATACTATGTTTAACAAAGTACACAAAGTGGTCAGGTTTGTTGTTGCAAAAAAAAAAAAGTGTTTTAGTAGATAATCAAATAATATGACATGAAACATTTTTGCATACAGCGTAATTATAGCTGTGTCAGTCCCAGGATATTAGAGAGGCAAGGTGAGTGAGAATATCTTTTAATGGATAATATCTTTTATTGGAGAGAATATACATTTTATTTTATATCTTTTGTTGGCGAGCAGACCTTACCCACCTTCACTCTATAATGAAAAATCTGAGTTCAAAACACAGGAAAAAAAAGAATAAGTAATCTGTAGAAGTCATTTCTCAATTTGAATTTAATATTGTAAAATTCTATCTTACACTCTATGGTGACATTTAGTCAGAATATTACTATCCTACATGCATACTTTTGGGTACATTACCTTTCAAGATCAAATCAGCATTTTCTTTGTCTGTTCTTCTGACATTTGACACACTGAAGAATCCAGACTTACATTGTAAGACCTAAACAGAAAAGAGAGAACATTTGCTGAATAAAAAATGTTCACATAATTAAGACTAAAACAAATTTAATGTAAAGTAGTTGATTAAAAAGATGGAACCTTTTTTTTTTATAAAACTAGGAACCATTTAAAGAAATAATTGGAGTCTTGATATTAGAAAAGTATTTTGAGAAGATATATTTACCAGCTCAATTTTCTACCAAGTGTAAGGGGACTGTTAGCCCCTTACTAAAACTCTGTGGGAGTTTTTGGTTTGCCAGCTCCCAGTGTCAAAGGGGGAGGGGTCCATGAGAAATCAGGGCCCTGAGACTGACAGACCCCAGAGACAATGGAAAGCAGCCAACACTCCAGCTCGGCCTGATTGACAGATTGGACAGGCCAGTGAGGAAAACAAGAGGCCAGGCCCCATCCTCCCTGTGAGCTGGGATTGTTCTGGGTCTCTGAGCAAGGCGAGAGCTGAGACAGCTAAGAGAAGTGCAAGCTCTGTGGAGAAGAAGTCCTGCAGCAACAGAGCCAGGCACAGACAGCCCAAGGAGTGCAAGCTGTGCTGAGGGGCAGTTTTGCAGCAACAGAGCCAGGCACACACAGTCCAAGGAGCATAGACCCTGTGTTGAGCAGCAGGCTGGCAGTGCTCAGACAGCCAAAAGGGACAGAGAAGCAAACCAAGGAGCTGGAGACTGGCAAGGCAGCACAGCCTGCAGCTGGGTGTGGTGACCAGCTGGGACCAGCAAAGTGTGGGGAGAGGCTCTGGGCAGGGAGATATCACCAGCCAAGAGGCCCAGCAGGCCAGACTGGGAGAGGGGTCTGGCCACTTAGAGCTTGAGGCTGTGTGGTCACTCCTTGAGCAAGCATGTCCAGCCTGCAGCCCCCGTGCAGCACATCCAGGGCCTCTCAGGGGCCTATAAGGAAGAGACTGTGGACTGTCCTTACACTCTGCAGTCTGCTGTTTTGATGTTCCTGTGCTACAGAGCAGGATTGTGTGTTCTCATTTAACCATTCTCATTTTTTCTTATTCCTTTCTCTTTAATCAGTTGATGTTTAATAAAATTCTATTTGCTTAGAACCTTATGAAATGATTACAGGGCCAAGAAAGCATGCAGTGTGAAGAGAGCACCTCGGAGTGGGGACACCCTAACTCCTGCCCCTAGTGACTACAAGGTCGGGGATTAAGTCCCAGGAAACCTGGGCCCAGCCTTGTTGGGGTTTCGAGGACTCTGCTACTCAGGAGAGTGGAGGGGGAGCCCTCAGGATCAGGGAAGCTGTGGGGTAAAGGAAGTGGGAGCGGAGACTCAGATCCTTTCGCTGGTCCATTTCACCGGGGTGGTATAGAAGCCAGGAAAGTTCCCCACAATAGCGGGACCATTCCCCCGCTTACACAAGCAAAGTGTTAAAAGCATTACTGTTTAGAATTTTACTGCTAACAAGGACAAAATACTTAAAAGATTGTTTTCTTCTGTAAAATGCTCCTCAAAATAAAACAAAACACATTGGCAAAAATCTTATGTCCCCTATACTTTCAAGAACACAAACATTCTCACAGGAATTAAGTTTTAACAATACCAAAAAACAACATTCAACAGTAAGCATTTAATTTTAGATGTATGTGTGTATCTTTTATCATTGTCCTTCAGCAAGAGGGTAAGTGCTGTAGAAGTAAGTGTCACAAAACAAGCAATATTTTTGCCACGGGAGTGAAGTCTCAGATTATTCTTCTCACATAGAATCACTTCTGTATAGTTTATCATCCAGACTCAACAGCTCAATAAAAGCAAGACCAGAATACTATTTCATTTTCTTTTGTGTTTGATGTGAATGTATTTTGCTACCTGTATTTTGCCAGTAACGCACAAACAAGACTGCAATAGCCACATAGAGGCTGGTTCTCCAATATTTTTCAGGGTTAAATTCTAGCACCTTCTATCTTTCATATGACAACGTAACACTTTTGAACCAACATTAGACTGCTTCTCCTACAATAAAATCCAATTTCTGCTAGATGAGTATCTTTGCTTATGAACCTCCAAGACTGGATATTTTATTCAAATGACTTTGCAAACTGGGCTTCTGAATATAAAGCCGATCTTAAAGAAGCTACCTGCTTGATGATCAGGATAAAATGGAACCGAATTCCATGACCATCAACTTCACTTCAGTGGGTAAAGTTCAATACTCCACACTATTAAATAAGCCTCCTTAAAAACATTAACTATCATCAAACATTTAATGAGAAATGAGAAGCAAAGCTGAAAATTCTGTAAATCTGAACAGATTTCTAAAGAATGTCATTCCACATCTTGATGAGAGGACCATACCAATTATTACTTGTAGGTGGCTGCAATTTATTATTAGCTTAGTAAGGGATTGGAAATCAATTTTTGTTTAAAGTTGAACAGTGATTGTTAATGGCTTTACATGTATGCATTCCAGGAAGCAGTCAGGCTACAAATTTCATTCACCATATAATTAATATACTTGGGAGGAGCTTTTTAAAATTCAGTGGTAAGTCATGTTTTTGTGGGAAGGCAAAGATGCAAATCTTTTCACAACAGCTCACAAGTGATGCTGTCACCTGAAGGAGTAGCCAGATTAATTAGTAAAAATCAGAGTTTATATAATCGAAGGTAACTGAAGCAAAATTAATCTTTGTTTAAAAATAAAGAATAGATTTATACCTGATCTTTAGTCTATTTTAAATCAAAGGCATCTCAGTATCATGAATCCCAGGGTAACATTATTCAAGTGAATGTTCTACAAAGCAAAGTATCTATTTAAAAAAGTATCTACACAATATTATCTGGCAGTGATACAAAGCCAGTACTGTAGTGTGAGAACACAACTTCACAGGTAATTCTACACAAATCCCACTTTGTGTTTTTTATTTGCCATATTTAGGTTTGGCAGGTTTGAAGACTGAGAGGCTCTGTATGAGAAACATTCTTGAAGATGCGCACTA